GGCGGGCTCTGGGCGGACGGCGGGCCCCGACGAGCCGGGCTGGGGGTCGAGGCGGCTTTCGGACGGCTCTTCCCGGGCTCAGCTCATGATCGCGGACGGGAAGGCACCGAGAGCGGCTCCCACCTGCCCGCAGCCGTCGCGGGTTTGCAGGCTGCTCCGGCCCTCGGCGGAGACCCGCGGGAAAGGCCTCCTGGGGCGGTCTGCCCACCCGAGAAACCAGGCTGAAAGTCGGCAGGGATGCCTCGGCCGAGGAGCCAGGACCCCGCCGCCCCCGAAGTCGGGAGCCCCCTCCGGCCCTGCGGCAAACTCGGGTTTTAATCGCCTTTTCGGTCCCGGACTGGTTGGGGGCCCTCCCGGCTCCCAGGACCGAGGCTGTGCCAAAGATGGGGCGGGGGCTGCTTTGGGACCCCCCCTCCTGGCACCTGTGGGTGGTGGCTCAGGCTGCCTGGGGCATTTTTCCTAGCTCCAGCACGGCCGATGTATTCTTTTTATGCAAATAATAAACTAATCAAAACGAAGAAAATTCCATATTTTAATAACCATGTTAATAACTACTGCAACAATAAAGCTGTTTTTATTATTTTTTTCTATAATTTATATAATAAAACACTAGTCTTTGACTTGCAGCTGGTCAGTCATCGACCATTTGAAGTTGTGAAGGACACCCCCATCCCCCCGTCCCCGGGGGGGGGGCATTTATGACCTCCATTCAAAGCTTGGGAGCTTGGCAACCGGGCTGTATATATGGCCATTTCCAGCATTTTATGACAGTTTTCTCAAAAAGCAGCATTTTTTTCAGCAAAACTGGCCTAAAACAGACTGTGGCAGTTGCTTTACAACCGCCTCAAAAAAAGTTGTAAAATCGCACTGGTGGCTAATCCAATGTATGACCGTCACAAGTTATGACCGATGTGCACACTCCATTAAACGTTCACAATCTGAGGACTCCTCAGGGTGCCCGGATGGAACCCGGTGCGTTGCTGCTGCTGGGTTTCTTCCAGCTGGGCAGCTGAGACAGGATTTCAACTTCCCAAATTCTGGGGACTGAAGTCCACAGTCTTTAAAATTGCCCAGGTTGAGAAAGACCGTATTCACATCTGTATGTGGAAAAGAAGAAGAATAAGCAGTCTAGTCAAAGTCAGGCTTCATCCTAATTCAGAAGGCCAGATAAAAAATCAAATGAAAACATATCCAATACTCTCCACAATTTTCAGGACAAGTTCCTGGGAGGCAGGACAAACAAACAAACAAAAAAGAATTGGTAGTTTTAAGTATTCTTCTTGTAACACACAAAGGTCTACAGGGCAGCAAGTCTTAACTCCTTGAGCGATTCAT